AATTGTGCGTATTAATTTTTTTCGTTAATTATCAACCCACTAACATTTTGACACTGACTAATTATTGTTAACAAACATATCGCCACTTGATTGGTAAACTGTTGTGTACTGTAATAAAGATTTCATAATTTCTCATAGCATTGCTTTCATGTGTGCTTCTCAAAAGCGAGAGGCATTAAGTAGTTACACTTTTATGCTGAGTTTTACGTTGGTAACTTTATCATTTAAAAATTAGGCGAAAAACGGAGTACATACCACCAGAGGATATGTACCCTTGCGATCGACTCTAAGCCATTTATTTATACTATTATTATTATTTCCATGGGTTCCGAGTGGAACATAGGGCTTCAACAACACATCTCCACTTTCTTCTATTCTCTGCTATCGCCTTCAGATGGCTAGGTCCACGAATGACCTTTATCTCTCATTTCCTCCCCCCCCCCCAATATACGATCTCCTCCATGTCACATTCCACTGTCGCACAGACGACCCACTCGTTGGGATTTCACTCGAACGATAGCCTGCATTGCGCGCAATGTCATTCGACGTCCTCCTCAGTAGAGTATGTCCGATCCATCTCCATTTTCTCCAACATATGTGTTGAGCCATAACATAAATGTATTTTAGAACACTCGGCCTGAGGAAAAACGAATATCAACAGTCCTCTCCTTGAGGATCTTGTCAACTCTAGAAACATAAAAACACTTTTGCATAAGTGCTTCACTGTAATCTACAGAGTCCTGTTATTATAGAAAAGGGTGGAAAATACTGTGTTTATACACAGCTGTATCACTGGAGCTTAAACTGCCACCTTAACATGTTGAATGTAACATTTTTACCTTGATTTCGTCTAATCTAACTGTTCGAAGTTTATATTTCTACCATATTTATCACTTACTTATCGATATTCTTATTGTTAGTTAAATAACACTACAATCCTCAGACTTCAGCAACCGATTGAAATGGCTAGGACACGTGTTGAGCATGCTGAGCCACCGCCTACCTTCTCGACGAGCAATATAAGCTGACATAGAATTAAGTTGGAGAAGAGTTAGGCTTGGCCAAAACAAAATCTCTCCAATGTGAAGCCAGTGCTACTATACGGACTTGGCGCCGTGTCACGAAGGACACTTCAAACAAACTACAGACCATCATCAACAGTTGTCCTCGCTCAATACTACTCAAGATCATATGGCCAGAAAAGATCAGCAACAGGGGATCTCTGGCAATGAACGAACTAATCCAGCAGGAACCGATTGTGCAACAAATATGCAGGAAAAAATAGAGGTGGATTGGAGGCCATACTCTAAGAAAGCCACCAAGTGAGTGACATCACACGCCAGGTCATCGCTCAAGTGGAACCCGAATGAGAAGCAGCAAGTCGGTGAAATGGAGAAGGTCAAGTAATGATAATAAATTTATCTGTTGAATATGTAAAGTCAACTGTAGAGCTTATGAAAATGACTCGTTGAAAATAGGGTTTACAATTAGGCAAGTTCATTGTTGAATTTCTCAACACCTCCCATCTTGATTTGTAAAAGGTTCGATTAAAGTTATAAGCAGCTCAATACTAGGTCAAAGGACTAGACACACTATACTAATCACTGACTAGTGTCCAATCAAAGTATCCAGTACAGTCAGACAGGAGGTCAATCGCGAGCCCAAATAGCTCAGTGGCTAGTAACATCTCTGGCTGCGGCACTGAGTGTTGCAGGTTCAAATCTCCTCAGAAGGAACGTGAGTTTCTTCAAGGTTGCAGATACACCTTGCTGATTGGTGAGTGCCAACTAGCACGAAACCTAGATGGAGGACTTCCTGACGATCGCCTTCAACCATCTAATATGCTAGCTCATCTTGGCGATACTGGACATCAAATTCTCACCGAACCTCCCGTATGTTCTACGAGTACGACTTTTACATACAGCAAAGGCGATCGGAGAGAATTTTGTGTAGCCTCTTTCTTCGCCTTGGCCGAGCCTATATAATATATATTAAGTTGAACGACAAAAGATTTTCCCCTCCCCTTCTATCTATTATTTTATTACGATTACAATTCTATCTAATTCAGTTAACTTGTTTGCACCTCAGTATTCCCACGTAACCCTGCACAATCATTCTATTCTTCTAAGTCATCATTGCTATTTTACAAATTTCTTGAATATATAACAATCTGTTGTTAATCCTTACGAATTAACTGATCTTGAATCCCGTAAATAGTTTCACCCCTCTTCTCAAAAAAGTTAGATATCCTGTTGACAGTATCTACTAATCAATTGCTTTTATGAATTTTATACATTTTTTCCGTTCAGTTTATTGTGTTTTCCAAGTGTTAAAAAAGGTGTGGACGAGTGGTCTTTGCACGTTACACATTATTGTTACTTCTCATTACATAAAGTGTTATCACCAATCATTGGCTTTCCATAGTCTTGGTGACCTCTCACCCACACAACCTATACTTCCTTAATACTCTGTAATTACCTCTGTTCCTACCCTGACCTAAGTTGAAACATTTTAGTCAATTATATTACATCATCTAACTTACTAACTCAATCTTATTTTAGTTGCTGTCTAATTAACCTTGTTTCTATATTAGATCATTCTTGCATTACCTTGACAAACCTCATGTACACTCATACACACACACAAATAATTATATATAAATGCGAGTGTACAGCTATGTGAATGAATTCGCCGAAAAGAGTCTCTTCGCTGAACGTCTTCCTTTTTTCATAAGACTCAATGGGGATTTTTAAAATACTCTTGAAGTCAGTTACTCCTCGTAAATGAACATGGTGTCTACACCATGTCTACACACACTCACTGAGAGAAAGGATTAGCAACAAGGAAATCTGGGAATTGACGATTTTCAACCATATCACCAATTGTCTCCAGACATTGGTTCTCAGTGTCCCGAAGACCACAACCAGACAGTAGTCTACACCTCCTTACATGACCAGCTCAAATTAACTGATAAATACTCCTTGGACTGATTCCATATTTTCGTTCGACCAGCATCAGCTGTTTACCAACCTGATTTTACATCAGCCTACATTGACCGTCGAAGAAGGAGATGGATGACTAAGGACATGCATAATACATTTCATAGCCATCCCAATAGATATAGCTTCACAACCTCATCAATAGATTTTCCCTCCTTACCTAGCACTCCACCGATGCCTAACCTCAAAAATACTCATCCTATTTTACCACCCAACATGGAAGATACAATACAGACACCTATGATCAAAAACAGTGAACCAGGCTTTCATATCCTCTACCTTCAGTGATCAGGTTTCACTCACAGCTATAAAGCAGGACAGAATGAACTGATGAGCAGTACACCCCCCCCTTGATCAGATCGATAGCCAGACGGATATCATGTCTAGACAGCCGGAGATGACGTAAGTTAGCAAATGTCACGCAAGTCTTTATTGTCTCGACTGGGATTTCGTTGACAACCAGTCCTATTAGGATTGATGAAACTTCCCAAATAAGTGAAGTGGTCAACACGCTCCACCAATCACTTCACTTCCTACCTTTATGAGTTAGGAGTCGACGTAGTCCAGTTCTGTAGCATCATGTTACATATGACCATCGTTCTTTGAAAAAGAAACAGCATAAAATAGTATATCATCATTTCATCTGAATCTTGTGATTCAGTGTGTGACCAATTAATCATCTTTGTGAATCAGAAAGGTACAACGGGCACATAGGCGCGTATTACCGTACCAGTTGACTTCATTACCGTTATAAAAATTAACGGAGCAGATACAAGAAACTGGCGATGAGGTTTTATTCATTTCACTGCAGCTATAACATATTTTCGACTATGTTAATTTCATTCCACTTATTATTATTATTCCTTGGGTTCCTAGTGGACTAGGTCAACTACACGTTCACTTGCTTCTGTTTGTGTGTACTTTATGCGTTTCTTCTGGATCCCCCCTCCTCCGGTCTGGCGCCCCACCTTCTTTTTTTTTTCTTTTTTCGCATGATAAATGATTTCTTTAAAATAATTTTTGATGTTATTCTTTCCTCAAATACCCGTGGCCCCGGGGGCCAAAAAATAATTTCTTCGGATGATCTCAAATCCATTTTGCAGTTGCAGAAACTTCAGAATGAAGCAGATCAACTGAGCTTAATCAAGGCTCCTACTCAGAAGCTGTCTACATTCAAGTTCCCCCCCCCCCAACATCTCATTCAGATAAGTGATGAAAGCCTCTCGAATTCTATCACAGTGAATTCAACTATGATCCAAAAATAGAAAGTCCTACACCTCTTACGGTAGGGGAGATGACAGTAACCAGCATCCTTTCTCAAGAATCCTGTGACTTATCTTGTGATAGAGTTACTATATGAATCCATCATTTTTCACACATGTTGTAATCAATTCATTATCTTTGTGAAGCGGAAGATCCAACGTGACGTATTAGCGTACCAGTTATAACAGTTATAACATTCTTTCACAGTAATATTCAAGTGTTGATTTGTAGGGATTTGACTGGTTACAGGATTTTCATCATGAGGTGACATTAGTTAGAGAACCATTGGAAAACCTGACAGAGAGTACTGGATAGCTGTTTCGTTGGCCTAGTTTAGGACTCTTCATCAGTACGCACCCACTGGGATTCGAACCCAGGACCTTCTGGTTACAAGGCTAGCGAGCTCGTAGACCATTAAGCCACTGGAATCCGATCCAATGACCAGCCCATGAATTCTAACTTCTGCCAATTCACGACATAGCGCGACCCCTAGCCAATGTCTTCGGCGAGTATTTGTCCTCACACCCGACCTGCTGCACCCTACTGGTCACAGTTATGACTTCACGTCCAGGAAATTCGTTGTGTAATAGTGGTAGTCGTCTTAACAGTAACAAGAAACAACAAGATGACACAAGTATACAAATGTATGTGTATTTATACATCTAAATGTGAAATATAATACAAATAAATTCTCATTACAATACAATACAACAAGTTATGCTGAGATATACACAAACAAGCCTGAAGGTGGAGAATTAGAAAAACACACACTCTCTCTCTCCTTAGACATAATTTTGATATTGTACAAGCGATTGTGTATACCGTTTCTCTGCTGTCCATATAGAATCACTGTCCTCCATTAAATTATGGCAAATTGGTTGAAGTTGAAGCAGATAATGTTTCAATGTAATTTCTAAATTTTCATACATCTGTTATACAGAAGAAAAGAAAAAAACAGAACAAAATATACAGAAAATTAAAGAATATGGCGAAAAGTACGACTTCACCCCAAAACATCAACTCCACCAATTTAGACATCTTGAAGAAAAAATAAAAAAAGATTCGGCAAAGAATATTCGCCTTTTTCTGTCGATCTCTCGAGACCCTCCTCTTCATCGGGCTTTACATAGTTATAGCATATATAATATAATTAACTTGTAAAGGAAATAGGGGGAAAGGGAAATTATCAAATTTCTATGATTAGGTAATGATGACCATGGTGAAAAAAAGTGACTGCTGCACGAATTTTTTTTATCAACAAAGAGATTCAACTTCTTCAAGGGGATTACTGATGCCTTCAAGTCTATACATGTAGAAGACGAACTTGTAAAACAAAATGAAGATTAGCTTTCGGAATACGATAGATGATGCTCAGGAAGGCTTCGTGTGTTTTTGGAAGTGTGTCTGGGCAGTTGTTACTCCCCGACTGCCCACACCATGGAAGTTGATTTATTCTTTGGGTATCAGAAACAGAAAGAGGGTTAGTGTTGAGTGACCACAGAGCCCACGAGACAACTGCTTGAGACCGGTCACACACGGCCTGTATGAACTGGCTTTTTGGATTGGTTCCGTATTAGTAAATTTACTGTCAGTTACGGAACACCGTAGGGTAAGTTGGGATGTACAATTGTTGGGGTCAACCTTTTCTAACCACCTCTCTCCAGAATGGAGAGACAGCATAGCTGGCATGCTGGTCATCTGAAGGAAACACCTCACTGCTGTTACATCCCTGTTCCCCAGCAGTACGACTTCGCCCACAGATCCCCAGCATAGTGTAAAAAATATTCTTACACTAAGCAGGTAACTGCTTTTAGTCTAATCGCTATCCTAACAAACTTCCTGGCATGGTAGGACATGCAGGAACAATAGTTCCAGCCAGTGTAGCTTGTTGGGTCATTGCGATACGCAAGTCCGACCACCACGTCAAGGTAGCAGCTATAGGTCGGGAATATGACAGATAACTTTCAATGCTTTGTTAACATGCCTTTGATTTTGAATAGCTACGAAGAAGCGGTTGCTTTGAAAATTTCACTTTCTTATTGATAACATTAGTTAAATAATAACACAATACCTAAACAGTGGAGTGAAAAGCTTATTCACTGAAGCGCTGATACACTCTCTTGTCATAACCAATTCGATTTTACATTCTAGACATGAGGATAAACTACCTAACTTATTACGTCTCCTCTATGCGTCTCTACTGACTTGAATTCTCCTATGAAAATAATCACATTGGGTGTACAATTCAGCACGTTCATCATCCTCGTCCAATCTCTGAACATCATTCTGAATGGTGGTTAAACAAGAGATACACAAAATCTGTTCGTTACTTTCTATGTTACCTCACCATGGTAAATAAATACTGAACCGAAAGTTGATGTTAACAAGCCATTGAAAGTTGTTTATCGTATTCCGAAAGCTAATCTTAATTTTACTTTACGAGTTCGTCTTCTACATGTATAGACTTGAAAGCATCAGTAATCCATGCGAAGAAGTCGAATCTCTCTGTTGATAAGAAAAATTCGTACAGCAGTCACTTTCTTTACCTTGGTCATCATTACTTAATCATAGAAATCTGATATTTTCCTCTTCCTCCTAAACCTTTTGTAAACCATTATTGTTTTAACTATCTTTGATAATTGCAATAATTTTCTTCCACAATTGGATCTCATATTCACACTTTAGGATCTACATACACACGATTTTGTACTATAATCCATAGATAATAAGAATCCGATACTATGTTAACAAAAACATAATATTGTCTCAGGTTAAGCCACAAATTGATATCAGTTAGAGAACCACTGAAAACCAGCTGGGAGAACTGGACAGACAGTTGTTTCACTCTAGTTTGGGATTCATCAAGAGTACGCACACCCACTGGGTTTCGAACCCAGGGACCTTCCTAATATCACGAATTAATAGAAGTTAGAATTCATGAACCTGCCTATGACGAGTCAGGTCCCAGTGGCTGAATGGTATACGAACCAACTTGCCTTGTAACCAGAAGGTCCTGGGTTCTAGTCCCTGTGATGGGGTGCGTACTACTGATGAGTCCCGAACTAGGACGAAACAGTTGTCTGCCAGTACTCCTAGCTGGTTTTCAATGGTTCTCTAACTAATATCACTCCGTGGTCTAAATTGAAACAAATAGAACCCTTACAGACTAATTCTTGAAAATTATTATGGTCAATAACAATTACTCTTTCAACATTATATATGTATTTATAACTATAATTATCACAGCTACAGATAACAACAAAAGTTCATTTCAGAGTACAATCAGTTTCTACACAATATAGCTTAACTACTGAAATAAATTAAGTAGTTAGTTTATTTGCCTAAACCAAACACGCGTAAATAAGTAAGTAAGTCAATGAATTAATCGCCATATTCAACACTGGTAACTGTTACCTAAATAGATGAATTTTACGACTACTTCTCATAGTGTGCCTGAGTAACTGCGTCTGAGTGTCATACTACAAAGGAATTGTTTCCACTTCATGAGACTCCTTTTTTTAAACTCAAATGCTATCATTACACTTTCCTTGGATTCCAAGTGAAACTGACTGACTGATTTCAATGTGGAACTTTGCACAGATATGCAGCAGTTCCAGTTGCCACACTCTCTCCATGTAGCACACAAGGCAAGAGAAGACAGTAAAGAGAGATTCAAAAGAGAGACAGAGATAATAAACAGAAGCGTGAGGCAAAAAGATCAGTAGTAATATGGAAGAACACTAGAATTTTTTCGGATATGATGAATTACAAAGGGTTAATGCATCTACCCCAGCCATCGAGAACGATTTTGATCATTATCATCAATTGTCTGCAGTCGCCATTGGCTTCTACCATCCCGAGGATCCCAACCACAGGAAGTCTACACTCCCACGTCGTTGCCTTAAACTCACTGTTGCGGGTTTCATTGACTGATGAAGCCATGTTTTGATTTGACCACCATTAGCTCTTTTCCAACCTGATCCATACAATATCAGCTAACACTGCCATTGAGGATATCCTAATCACCTCAATCTGTGTAACTTCACAATCTCCTCAATCGACTTCGTCTCCTCACCTAACACTCGACACCTGACCTAAACATTATTCACCCTCTTATAGCACCTAACATGGAAGATACAATGCAGACACCTATGATCAAAGACAGTTAGCCGGCTTTCACGTTCCACCTTCAGTCACCGTGTTTCACAGCTACAAAGGAAAACAGAGTGAACTTCTGAGCAGTACACACGTCTTATCCATAATGGAGTTATACTCAACCACAGTGCCCAAGTTTTATACTTAAATCAGTACACACGTCCTTTGATCAGATCGATAGCCAGGCGGATATCATGTCTACGCCAGAGATGACGTAAGTTGGCAAGTGTCACGCGAGTCTTTACTGTCTCGACTGGGATTTCGTCAACAATCAGTCCCATTAGGGTTGATGAAACTTCCTAATTAAATGAAGTGGTCAACACGCTCTACCAACCACTTCACTCCACATCTTTAAGCTAAGAACACATGGATCTAAAAGCAAATAGCCAATTCACTCTGTTTTCACTAGTCATTTTTGCTGGCTCCACAGTTACTTTTATCTCCTCTTCACACAACCTCTTCCAGGTGACAGGTTTTTGGTTGGTTGGTTCGTTGCCAGAGTTCTTTGTTGCTTATTCTTTCTGGGAGACTCTCTCCGATCTTCATTATCGAGTCTACGTAGATATTAATGAAGATTTTCAGTAGCCTGTGGGAGATGCTTTTCATAACCCGACAAGTTTCTGAACTAGACACAGAGAAGCGCTGAATTGAAAATTCGGATTTTATTCCTTATGATGAGTGCAGCAGATTTTCAGAGCAATGAAGATTCGTTTTGGTTACAGGATTTCATCATGAGCTGACATTGGTTAGAGAACCATTGGATAACCTGGGAGTACTGGACAACTGTTTCGTCCTAGTTTGGGACTCTTCATCAGTACGCACCCACCGGGGTTCGAACCCAGGATCTTCTGGTTACAAGGCGAGCTCGTAGATCCGTTTTAATTTTCGCCAATCTTGACTGACTTTGACATCCTAATGTCTGTGCCATCTGTGTTCGAAACGATGCTAACTTCATAAGTGGAGGAGGTGCCTTCCTTTAGATTTCTCCTGATGATGGCGTTGTCTTCTCTGTGTTCCCCTGAAGTCCTTCCTGAGTTCGCCGCCTCTTCTGTCAAACAACTGGGCAGTTACTTCGGTTACCATCTTATAATCTTCCTTAACTAGAAGTGACTATTAATCCAATAACAGTAAGGAGCAACAAGAGCACCGATAACTATGAAGGAGGGGTGTGTGTGAAGGCGGGAAATACTCTCTGACAGAACATAAATACTAATAAAGATATTCAATATGAAAACAGGTAAACAATACACAAGATGCACAACTTACAGTTCTATATGTTTCCGATCGTGATGATAAGATGTTCAAAGCATTCAAGATTTGTACAAATAAATTATGCGGCATATACAGCATACCAGATGTGGGTGTTTTATTATCAATCCCCTTCTGATGCGGAAGACTGCTTAGTTTGGATAATGTACACTGAAAGATAATACAGAAAAAAAGAGGGAACTTTTATATACAAAACATAACGGGTTACCATTAATCGGCTACAGTAAAAAGTTATATTTTCACACAAATTCATCAACTGCAAGCATATACCAACGACTACGAGATAGATTTCTAGTTCCAAATTCATTAATGACCTGGTAAGGTCGACAGTCAGTAGACTTCAGTCTTTTCTTCTAGAAAAACTCTCATGTGATCACACGTTCAAAACCTCTGCCAACCAGGTAAGTTCTACTCACTGACATCACGCAGCAGAAAGTGTTCCTCACAAGAGTGAAGGGGCGAATCCACACATCTGGTGGTTACAACTGGACTAGTGATCTCCTAGGTCTACATAGGAGAGCTGGGAAAAGCCTGATTCCAAACATATAGTGTACATTGGCTCCAAAATCCAAATGGAGTATGAACCTGTTTTTGGCTACCAGAAAGCATAAGAACACAACTGAACTACCTTGTGGGTCAGAATTCAAGTCAGAAACTCAGCGGGGAGATAGTTCCTTAAGACAACCACCAGCTTCGGTTTGGGCATGCAAGATGTATCCCAGCTCTCACACCAACTCAGGGATTGACTTGTTACCAGGAAATAACCTCGTTGACTTAGAATATGCAGATGATATAGTCCTTCTAGGTGATGACACTGACAAAATGCAGAGTCATCTGAACACCTTGAGAAACAATCTTCGAATGTCTGGCATAGGATTTGGTCCCGTCAAATGTAAGATGATGAGGCTACAGGACTGGACTACATCGACTACTCCTAGCTTAAAGATAGGGAGTGAAGTGGTGGAGCGTGTTGACCACTTCACTTATTTGGGAAGTTGCATCAGCCAGCGCCAACGGGTTGATCGCTGACGAAATCTCAGCTCGAATACAGAAGGCTCGGTTCGCATATGCCAGTTTACGCCGTCTCTGGTGTAGATGTGATATCCGGCTATTGGCCAAAGGGTGGGTGTACTGCCCAGCAGTCCATTCCGTCCTCCTTTGTGGTTCGGTCATTGAAAGTGGAAGATATGAAGAGATTAGCTGTCTTTGATCATAGGTGTTTGAGTTCTATCTTCCGTGTAAAGTGGCATAATAGGGTGAGCAATATTGAGGTTAGGCATCGGTCGAGTGCCAGGTAAGGAGGGGAAATCAATAGACGAGGTTGTGAAGTTACATCGACTGAGATGGTTAGGACATATGTTACGTATGCCTAGCCATCACTTTCCTCGACGGGCAATGTTAGCCCAGAGTAATAACGAAGAACAATATAGTTTTATTGGGTATTATAAGTCACAAGGAGTGGATGCATCTGCACTAGCCATTGAGAAAGATTTTGAGCCATATCACCAATTGTCTCAAGTCGCCATTTGGTTTTTACTGTCCCGAGGACCCCAACCAAGAAGTCTAATACAAAGTTTGACCGTCACAATATCAAGATGGTATCATATAGGCGATATAAGCGAAATTGTGAATACTCTTCAAAATGCGAACAAAAATAACGTCAAAAATAAATGAAATACTTACTCGTAAACCAAACAATGAAGGATCTATACCCTCAGTGACAGCTGTTTCAAGCATATCTATGGCAAGACGACATGCTGCCTCTAAACGATTATACTTTATATAAAGTCTTAACAGACTGATAGTTCGTTCTGTGGCATATTTAGTTGACACTAAACGTAAAGTTAACCATTCCGGTAAATACAATTGATTAGGCCGTGACATGAGTAAATTTTCACAGGCAATTAAATGCAGTTGACCAGGAGATTGTGATTTAAACACTGACGATTTATCATCAGGGCGAGATGGATCCAGGCGGGTTAAAACAAC